ATTTTAGATGTGGCCTCACCAGAGCCGAATAAAGGGGAATAATCACTTATCTGGATCTGCTGGCAATGCTCCTCCTAATGCACCCCAATATGCCCATTAGCCTTCTTGGCTACAAGGGCACACTGCTGACTCATACCCAGCTTCTCATCTACTGTAATCCCCAGGTCCTTTTCTGCAGAACTGCTACTCAGCCATTCGGTCCCCAGCCTGTAACAATGCTTGGGATTCTTCTGTCCCAAGTGCAGGACTCTACACTTGTCCTTGTTGAACCTCATAAGATTTCTTTTGGCCCAATCCTCTCATCTGTCCAGGTCACTTTGGACCCTATCCCTGCTCGCCAGTATATCTACCTCTCCCCCTAGCTTAGTGTCATCTGCAAACTTGCTCAGAGTGCAATCCATCCTCTCATCCAGGTTATTAATAAAAATGTTGAACAAAACCGATCTAAGAACAGATCCTTGGGGCAGTCTGCTAGAAACCGACCGCCAACCTGACATCGAGCTGTTGATCACCACCCGTTGGGCCCTACACTCTAGCTTGGTTTCTATCCATCTTACAGTCCATTTATCCAATCCGTATTCCCTTAACTTGCTGGCAAGAATATTGTGGGAGACGGTATCAAAAGATTTGCTAAAGTCAAGGTATATCACATCTACTGACTCCCATGTCCACAGAGCCTCATCATAGAAGCTAATCAGATTGGTTAAGCATGACTTGCCCTTTGTGAATCCATGTTGAGTATTCCTGATCACTTTCCCCTCTTCCAAGTGCTTCAAAATGGATTCCTTGAGGATCCCCTCCATGATTTTTCCAGGGACTGGGGTAAGGTCTGTAGTTCCCTGGATTGTCCTCCTCCTCTTTTTTAAAGATGGGCACTACATTTGCCTTTTTCCAATCTCTCCCGATCTCCATGAGTTTTCAAAGATAATGGCCAAAGGCTCCACAATGACACTTTCCAACTCTCTCAGTACCCTCGGATCCATTAAATCCGGGCCCATGGATTTGTGTAAGTTTAGCTTTTCTAAATGGTTCCTAACTTGTTCTTTCCCCACCAAGGGCTGTCTACCTCTTTCCCATACTGCGTTGCCTAGTGCATTCGTCTGGGAGCTGACCTTGTCCGTGAAGACAGAGACAAAAAAAGCATTGAGTACCTCAGCTTTTCCCACATCATCTGACACTAGGTTACCTCCCTCATCCAGTAAGGGCCCCACACCCTCTCTGATCACCCTCTTATTGCTAACATGCCTATAGAAACCTTTCTTGTTATCCTTCACATCCCTTACTAGCCTCAATTCCAATTGTGCTTTCACCTTCGTGATAACTCCCCAGCATTCTCGAGCAATATATTTATACTTCTTCCTAGTCATCTGTCCAAGTTTCCACTTCTTGTATGCTTCCTTTTTGTGTTTAAGCTCACCAAGGATGTCCCTGATAAGCCAATATGGTCGCCTAACATATTTGCTTTTCTTGCTGCGCATCGGGATGGTTTCTTCCTGTGCTTTTAATAAGGCTTCTTTAAAATACTGCCAGCTCTCCTGGACTTCTTTGCCCTTCATGTAAGCATCCCAGAGAATCTTGCCCATCAGTTCTTTGAGGGAGTCAAAATTTTCTGTTCTGAAGTCCAGAATGTGTATTTTGCTACTCTCCTTTCCTCCTTTGGTCAGGATCCTGAAATCTACCATCTCATGATCACTGCTTCCCAAGTTGTCACCCACCTCTACTTCCCCTACTAGTTCCTCCCTCTTTGTGAGCAGCAGGTCAAGCTGCGCATGGCCTCTGGTCGGTTCCTTCAGCACTTGTACCAAGAAGTTATCCCCTACATTCTCCAAAACTCTCCTGGATTGTCTGTGAACTGCTGTATTGGTCTCCCAACAGATATCAGGGTGATTAAAGTTGCTCATGAGAACCAGGGCCTGCGATCTGGATGCTTCTCTCAGTTGTCCAAAGAAAGCCTCATTTACCTCATCCACCTGATCCGGCGGTCTATAGCAGACCCCAACCACAACATCACCCCTGCTGCTTCCACCTCTAAACTTAACCCATAGACTCTCAACGGGCTTTTCTCCCTCTAAATACTGGAGCTCTGAGCAATCATACTGCTCTCTTACATACAATGCAACCCCTCCTTCTTTTCTCCCCCGCCTGTTCTTCCTGAACAGTTTATACCCTTCAATGACAGTGCTCCAGTCATGCAAGTCATCCCACCAAGTCTCCTTTACTCCAATCAAATCATAGTTCTTAGACTGGGCCAGGGCATCTGGAATGGGTCCAGCAGATGGATGTGGAAGAGGTGTGATAGGCTGTGTGGATGTATTCAGAATGCCTGCCATATGGGCTTCAGGGGACCATCTGAGGAGGACCCCCTGCATCAGGTACCAGCAGTCCCTGAATACTTATATCTGGGAGGAGGGTATCTGGATTTCATCAACTCCCTGTCAAGATTCATCAATGAGGGGTTGATGGGCTTGTCAGAGATTCTGTTTTGTCCAATAAGACTCTTGCTTCATGAGTGGGATCTAGAGGGTGAACACTTCTTTCTGTGGATTGGAGGAGGCAGAGTTCCCATGTTATCAAATAGTTTCTCCCTCTGGTGTAGGAATGTCTCTTAGGAGGACCAGGTTCAAAATGAGGCGGGACTGAGAATAAAATGAAGAAGATAGTCTCCAGTGAAAAACAGGTGTCTCTGCATGTTCTGGTGTTCCAGGATGTCCTGACTGACCGTTCCTGTGTTTCCTAAGATGCTGGAAGTGGAAGGACCTTAGAAGGGTGGACTGGTACTGCTGAAGAGTCAGGTGCACACTCTTACATGAGTTAGGAGACAGTGATCTGTATGTTTGGCAGTTAGAAGCAATGATAGCACTGATGGATCCTCTCTCTTGCATGCTTTACCCTCCTGCCTTAGAGTCTTAAATGGTCCTGAGACCTTAGGAGCCACACACAGATTCTGGACAGAGTTGGGGAGGGATCTCTTCTTTTAGGGGAAGATATAGATAGGGATCTGTTTGTAACTGAGAGTGACTCTTTCTCGTGCAAAGCCCTGGAGGAGGATTCCTTGAGCTTAGCCGTTCTAGAGTCTACTCTTGAGCTTGTTGGTTGACACTGATGTATTGGTGGAGAGGTAGGCTCTCTGGCCTGGGTCATTGAGAGGTATCACAGGCTTTTCCATAATATCTTCCCCCAACTCAATCTCACATGCTTCCTATGTTGGTGTATTAACAAATGGCAAATGCTGCTGCTTTGTTGAGATGTGCATTTCACCCAGACAGTAGAAGCAACATTGATGCCCGTGACGCACAGAGATGGAACAAGAAGCAAGGTATGCAATTCCTGAACTATATGATTCCAGGCACAGTCCCAGAACATGAGTAGACACTTCCCAGAAATGGAAGAACCGAAGCTACACTATACAATATTTAAGCTTTAACTTTGCTAAATATTAAAACTATTTATAGTCTGATAAGCACCAGGAGAGATCTGACACACACAGTATTCTGACTTGAACAATGCGGCAGTAAAAAGGAACTACACAATGGCACCACATAACCTCTTAGGGTATGTCTACACTTGCACCCTAGTTCGAATTAGGGATGCAAATGTAGGCATTCGAAATAGTCAATGAAGCGAGGATTTAAATACCCTTTGGTTCCAACTAACGTTACTCCTCATTTTTTAGAGTAACGTTAGATGGAACTAAAGGGGTTGGTTCGAACTAACGCATCCCGGCATGCACTTTCATTTTCAAAACAGCTGTTGATCGGAGTAACGTGCTGGCGAGATCATGCTAATGAAGCGCGGGATATTTAAATCCCCGCTTCACTGACTATTTTGAATGCCTACATTTGCATCCCTAATTCGAACTAGGGTGCAAGTGTAGACATACCCTAAGAGGTTATGTGGTGCCATTGTGTAGTTTGAACTAGGGTGCAAGTGTAGACATAAACTCTGGACTGAGGCTATAAGGGTAAGTATAGCAACTGTTGATGTATGAGTTAACAGTCACTACTTACTAAAAATTTCCCCAATAGCATGGTGCACATGCATACCATGTGTGGAATACACACGAGAACCAGGACTCAAAGAAGATCTATTTCTGTATTCCAAGTGAGCACCCAATTGATAATGCTCAAATAAATCTTGCTATATCTTTGAGGTTATTACTGGTCAAGAGATCAGTTTAAGATTTCATAGCATTTACTAGTACCATTAGCTCTACGTGCAAAGGAATGATGCTGCCTTAGGAGGCTGAGCATCTCTGGCACCAAATACAAATGCAGAAGGTACATGAAGCTCTATATGACATACTATCTGAACAGTCTATTTTCTTATTTAAAGGTGTACAAGTAAGGATGTTACTAGTTCTCTACTAACAGACCTCATCTGAATGTCCCCAGTTAAAATGTAAATAAAGGATTTTAAAAAATTATATCCAAGTACCACCTATTTTAATACATTTTACCTTCATTATTTAACCATTTCAAGTTCTGAGTTGAAAGGGAAAAAAAAAAATCTCTGTGCAAGTTTCAAAATGCTAGAGTCATAGGGTATGTCTACACTACCACCCTAGTTCGAACTAGGGTGGTAGTGTAGACATACCCTATGACTCTAGCATTTTGAAACTTGCACAGAGATTTTTTTTTTTCCCTTTCAACTCAGAACTTGAAATGGTTAAATAATGAAGGTAAAATGTATTAAAATAGGTGGTACTTGGATATAATTTTTTAAAATCCTTTATTTACATTTTAACTGGGGACATTCAGATGAGGTCTGTTAGTAGAGAACTAGTAACATCCTTACTCGGTAGTTCGGAATAGGAAGCCTAATCCGAACTACCTAGTCCGTGCCGCGTGTAGCCGTGGGTTCGGAGTTCGAACTAGCGGACATTTAAAAATGGCGGCGCCCGGCAATATGCAAATGAAGCCCGGGAAATTCAAATCCCGGGCTTCATTTGCAACTTCGGTTGCCTACATTAACCACCCTAGTTTGAACTAGGGTGGTAGTGTAGACATACCCATACTGAGTAAAAAGTCTCCAATGATACCTGGTCTTGAAACAGACAGCCACTGGGGAATTCAAACCTGCTTCAAAGTGCCAATAACGTTTGAAAGAAAATGTGGGTAAGAGCACACTATTTTGCATTTCACTCCACAAGGGAGTTTAGCAAAGCTGATACAACACAAATAAATTAAGATTCACAGAATTTAAAATGACTTCTATTTAACTGTGTGCATTACATATACAACCAACCAATGGATTCTGGAGTTTTAAACTTTACATCCCAAAGACTATAATAGATAGAAGCCATGGAGAGATGGCTCTTATTTCTGCCTCTAACTGGACTGTGTATCACCCATTTTACATAAACTACACAGCACACAGACATCTTAGTTAAGCAAAGTCTTGGTATGATACTCGAAGGTATGAGAATGAAAAACATTGGGAAATAATTAAGGCTAATTCATCTGAACACCGTTAGCAGTGTCTATCCATCTAGGTATTTATAAAGCACCCAATGACTGGTATCAAGGTGTTGCTGAAACTTCCTGAGTTATAAGAGATCAAAGATTATAGGTAGGAACTCAATCTTGTTCACATAAACCTCGGCAAGGTTACATTTTATGCATCCTGCTGACACGTTCACTCTCCCTTCAGAGAAACAAATATCCTCACTATCTGGACAACAGACCTTAATTGGCCATATACAAATGATGAGGCTCTCTAATGACAATAAGATCAGCACCACCATGAATTAATGTATGACACTGACAGGTTAACAGTTGGCCAGTAGGTTAGGTGGTTTGTGGGCACTCCACCTTATCCTCTTAGGTAGAGACAAAGCAAGACACATTTTTCCAGTCTTTCTTCATGAAAGCTGCGACATCTACCTTTAAACTAAGCCAGCAATTTTCAAACTTTTTTTCTCATGACCCAGTTGAAGAAAGTTATTGATACCTGTGGCCCAACATAATTATATCTTTTGACAAGAGTGTGGGCTCCAGGGTGAGGCTGGGGAAGAGAGGTTTGAGGTGTTGGAAATGGCTCAGGACTGGGGCAAGGGTTTGGTACACCAGGTTGGGCACAGGCTTACCTCCAGCGACACAGTCAGTAAAGCAACGGGGATTCTAATGCTGGCTTCCTGCTTGTCTTGGCACTGCAGACCAGCCATGCCCCAGAAGCAGCCAGTAGCAGGTCTGAGTCCTAGGCAGAGGTGCGCAAGCCTAGGAGTGTGGAGCCGGTGCTCAGGGAGAGGACAGCATATGGAGCCCCTTGGCCCACCACCTGAGAGGTGAACCCACTCCTGGCTACTTGTGGGGTATAGTGCAGCCCATGTGCCAGAACTGGCAGGAAGTCTACCTTAACAACCCCCACTAGTCACCTGGTCACCCTACAGCAAAGTGACCCAGTGCCTGGCATTCCACAACCCAGTACTGGGTTGCGACCCATACTTTGAAAACCACTGAACTAAGCTACTGTGTGAGAGATCTTCTTCTGCACCTAATCTGACACCAGAAATACTTAGTTGCAAGAAAACAACAACTCTTGAAGCACCTTTTAAGACTGTCTCAGTTCTACAAAAATTAACTCATACTGATAAAGTATCTCTGCTAGCAATAGACATAAAAGGAAAACATATCCTTGCAAACTGTACTACATTAAGTACACATAAGCATACATAATTGTTTATATATACATAAATGTGTATTACTCATATAATGTTTTTATTTCAGTGTTGCATCTTAAGGTGACTTAATGGAAAGCACAGAAATATAGCAATAGGTATATGATTTATGTATGTACTGCAATACAGAATCACAGGAATACAAGGCTGCAAGAGAGCTTGAGATACTAAATGCATATACAATTAAGATTTTATCTGTCCTTACCATAAAATATGGATTTGTGGTAATACTGTACTTCAATATGCCCTGTAAGCAAAGAGAATTGAGGTTCTCTCTCCAGGACTGGTGAAGACCTAGCACAGGTCTACTTATATACATATTCAAGAGCTACACTGAAATTTTGTCCTGTCGAAATTGCAGTCACTGTTACAGTACTCTATATGTCTCTTCATTTAGAAGCCCAAGAAGCATAAGACTTCTCCAGCCCAAGAGTGGGAAAAAAAAGAGTAAAACCTCATACATAGTGAAAGCAAAATTTTAAGTCTCTTCTTTGATATTCCTTCACTCAAAAAGCAGATCACAAAGAAGTTGGCTTACAGGAAGTGAATGTAAAGGCCAGCTCAAGGATACTGGAGTTGGCCTTATGTTCATGCTCCATGAATTTTTAATGCGGACAAAACCACATCCTATTGGTGCTTGAAAGTAATGCAGTATTTACCACGAGATAACTGGTATTTCTATGAAAAACAGATTTGTTTGACTGGTGTAAGTCTATTCAAATGAAAGCCATTCACCTTCACAATGTGAAGCTGACCTCTAAATTGCTAAAAAGATTATTAATACCTTGTACAATTAATTAATTACTATATCTGAAGAGGACATGAAGTTCTGAGAAATGTTGTGTCAGGCTCTCTCCCAACCTACCTGTAGTTCAAAAGTCCTTTGCTGATAGAAACCAGCTTCATTTCAAAGTTAAATTTAATAAAGAGATTCTTTTATTTAGGAAGTTCAGAGATGAACTGAGTAGAGATATAAACTCTGCTTGTCCTGGAATGAGAGATCTCTTGAACATTATGTTCAAACCTTCTTCTAGGTAAGATCCCAAAGAGTATACACTTAGTTTCTTTTGCCATCCAGTGCATGCTTCCTTTTAAGTGGCATTTCCCCTTATTCTATGTATAAATCTGTATCTGCACATCAATGTTAATGTTCTGATTCTTAATTTAGTTTTAATGTGTTTAAATAACTACAAAGGAAAAATGTGTATATTATGGCTTCAATGTATATTGTTTGGCGTCAGTACAATATCAGAATTTATTTTTAACAGAAAGTTTATGATGCTACTAAAAGGTATGTCACTTTTCAATTAAATGGTATACACACCAAGCAAAATCCTGAGGGCACAAACTGGTGAACTTATCGGAACTCAGTATTCAAGCAATAATGGCCAAAATCATGAACATTCTCATGAGATTAAAAACAAAATTAACGTTTCGCTCACTAACAAGATTCCTCCTAGCTGAAGTTCTGAGAGACTGTTCAGAGAACCTCAATTTACACACTTATGAGCACAGAGCTGCAGTTCAGATACTTTAAGATCATGTGCACAATTCTGTTCACACTCGTAGATTTGTCTCCTCTCCTTTCCCCAGTGTGAGAATGAACACACCTATACACGCACATTAACTTTCTATGTACAGTCTTATTTTAGATAGCTCTTTAAAGAAAAATAGAGACATAGATTTTAGTCCCTTTTATCCAAGTGTCTTCCATTCTCTTATAGCTCTTTAGTGTGAACACCATGGCAGATACTGAGCAATATTATTTACTATTATTTACACTCATCCTCTAGACAAAGCAATAGAATACAATCACACTACATCCTACTCTTTAGTAGGTTGGCTGATCTGTCCCCTGATTATTATATACTGAGAAGTAGCTGCCCAAAAGAAAGAGTCCCATCTTCCATCTACTTTCTGGGCCAAGTCTGCTCAGCCCAGCTGACATCAAACCATTGCTCTCATACAATTCGATCAGTAACAATACAGTCAAGTTTAAACTTAAATATAGATAATTTAAACCAAATAATCCATATATATACAAAAGTGTTACAAAAAACAAGCAGCATGCAAAAGTTCTGTTAAAGAAATCAAAATAATAATGGTTTTAACACTGTAACTATGGTCTGGACTCACTGCTCTTTTATATGTTTTGATAAACTTAACAATGCTATTAGTCAACATGCAGACATAGGACGTATACTTAACAGCATGTTACTCCCATTCACATGTTCATTAGTACACACACTTCAATGAGTTCAACACAAATTGAAAGAACATATCTACAGTGCACCGAGGTCAAATTCAAAAAACAAATGGTTTTAACCTTACAATAAATAAATACTGCTTTTAATGAGGATTTCTCTCCCCCCCCCCCCCCCCAAGTTAGGCAGTATTTTCATACAGAGGAGAGTTCAGTTATGTAAGATAAACAGTGATGCTTATGCAAAGAGAGTAGTAAGACCTGAAAAGGATCTTCCATAAAGGGGACAGTTGAAGTAGCCTGTCCCTATGTAAATATATGAAATTTTCCTAAGACTGCCACTGACACCAAGCCTTTATGAATTAAAGAAAAGCCAACTATATGCTAATATTGTTTTCTTAGAAAAGGAGTGGTTATGGATGCGACTCTCTGTTGTGAATCATCTCAGGCTTTTTGAATAAATATTTGAGACAGAATTTTCCCCACCACAAACATCATAAATGTATGCAAGTGCTGGTTTTAAGAATAAGAGTGATCTTCAAATCAAATCTTTTAAAAAACTGCTATGCAAGATGTCTTTGAAGTCTACAGAAGCAAAATAGCCACTGTCAGCATGCCCGCTTCAGCACTTAAGACATTCAGACAGATACTCAATAGGTAACATGCTTTTTAAACTTTAGTCTATGGATTACTAAGGCTCAAATTTCAGTGCATTAATGCCACTCCTTTAGAATCTGCCAGTGCCACTCCTTTCAAATCTCAAATCATACACTATACAAAGTAAAAGTAAAATATTATGATAAAAAATACACTTGCAGAGTGTTCGTACGTCAGATCAGAAGGTAACATATAGAAGACACAGTAGAAGATGCTGTTGACAATTCAAGAGTTGTGGTCATGAGGTTTCAATTAGGCACCCTGTTTCCGATCACAGAAAGACCAACCACCACAAAGTTAGTGCAAGTACCATAAAAAGGGACATCATAAAGGGAATGCGCAGAGAAGGAAAAGTACTAGAGTACAGGTAGCATTTTTTGAGTGATTTCTGCTCCTCAGGAATTGGAATAGAAATCTTTGGAGGAATTTCTTCTTTTGCTTGCTGGGGCAATGCAGTCTCAGTAGGCATCTGCTTTTTTATTTTGTCTTCATCCTGTACTAACAGAGGACGTTCCTGTGTCTCCTTTCGTGGTAGAAGATCAAGAAAGACAGAGAGATGAACAAAAATGACAGATGGGAAGTGCTCAAAATGGTACTTGGGGATGCACAAAGTTTTAGAACAGGTCTTCTGATAAATATTTATTACTAAATTGGCAAATTGCTGTCAAGAACAAATACTGTGGAGGCTCAATCAGGATAGAAGTACTTTAGCAATATCCTCCAATTTAGCCTCTGAATGTGACCATCTCCATAGAATCCACTAGTCTTAGGGCAATGTTCAAATGTATTCACAATTTTCCTTTGAGAGAAGGTTAAAGTTAAAATCTAGTATTTAAGTGCTCCACAATTGAAATTGTTGAGAAAAGTTAATGTATTACAAATTCAAATGATACAATACAAAATGCAGTCTTTTACAATTTCTTATATTACACTGGCCTTCGAGGTGGCATTAACTCAAAGTTTGATATCAAGATTTTAATATAGATGATATAATCTTATTTTGAAGATATTGCAAATGAAAACTATCAAACTGTCTACTTTTTTCAAATGATATTTAGCTATGATTGCAAAATGTTCAATCCCTTTGAAATCAGGAGTATGTAATATGAATACACTCCAAACTTCATGGATTTTATTTTCCATTTTAGTGCATCTGTGTCTTGAGGGTCTAAAGAATGTGTAACTATAATGGACATGGTATCACACAAACGCTTTAGCATTTGTGAAAAATGTCTAGGGAAATTTTGTTGCAGTTTATTTGTAAAATGTTTTCCAGCCTTTCAGTTGGCCAACGCGGGTGCATCTATGAAAGAAAAAATTTGGCCCTAAGCTCTCTCAGTTGAGCCAACCTCCTTTGATCAGTCTGGTATTTTGGGACAGGTTCTTTGCACACCCCTAAGTGATGAGTATCAGGGAGAAAGTAGCTGGGGGGCTGGGCAGCAAAAGAAATAAAATGCAAGTGTAACATGATTATTAAAACAAAAAATGGAAAGGAAAGGAAGACAACATAAAAAGAACAGGGTACAGTTAAACTTTCATAACTGTTTTTCTTTCCAAATACATGGTTACATCATGCAGCTTTTCAACTAGCCATGCGCCGAAATAAGCAAATTGAAAGCTGCAAAAGCTGCAGCAGTGCAAATCCTTTACGTGTTAGGTAAGGAGGCTGTGAGATATGAAACTATTTCGTGTTGCCAAAAGAAAAACATTATTCAGCAGCTGCTGTTAAATTTTTGCTTTGTGCCATTACAACAGCAAAATTTGGTTCAGAAGCACATATTATAACACCAGCTTTACCTCTGGCCCACCAACCCTTCTTTCAGAGGATAGGATAGTGGCTTTCTTGACCTGGACATACAAAGTATGTAAAGTTCAGTTGTCTTGTAATGCACGATATAGGAATAGTAGAAAGATAACCTCTTATATAATACCATGATTTCTGCAATTATAACAATTGTGTAGCAGCAAAAAGAAATAATTAAATTCATATTTATCTTCTTTATACATTTGATGACATGAAGGTAAACTCAAACACTAACCACATGCCTTCCTGCAGGTATCTCATGTTATTATCATAAATCACATTCACAAAAAAGCCATTTTCAGAAGGTTCATGTCACAGGTGGTGAAACTTCCAGAGACACGTATCAGTGATGTGACTTGCAGAGAGCTGGCATCACCCTTACTACAGTGTGAAAGAATTGCTAGCAAACCACTGAAGCTGCAGGCTGATAAGCACGCACTATCCCTATTGCCCCCATCTTATGGGTGGAGAGCCCTGCACCACCTGTTCTGGAGAGCACCCTGCAGAAAGGCTTCTGAAAATAAAGATCAGTGATCAAATGATAGAGTGGCTTCATGTGTTTAACAAATTAATTGGCAATTCCAATTAATTACAGACAGTTCAGATTTTCACTACATTCTTCTTGATAAGGAATGAGTCCCATAGCTACTATGCCTCTTTCTTGCCTATATTTTAAGCAAACATTAAAAGATCAAATTTTCACTGCCTCTTCAATTAATTTCTCAACACCTTCTTCCTCCTCCTCTCCAGATTATTCCATGTTAAAAGTGCCATACTTGCATGGTTTAAAGGTCAAGCAAAGAAAGTGTCTCCATAGCAGTTGGGACAGGAGAGAAGGACAGAGAGATTTATGATAAATTACTGGGCAAAAGTTTTGGCACTGATTTTAAATGAAGCTAGGATTATACTCCTCATTTTAAGTTAAGCAACTATCATTGTTCAAGAAGCTGCAATTAGTTTGATCTAAGAACTTTTATTCTGAGTCAAACAACAGAAGTAGAAATATAACAGGGAGATATTGATTACCAGTAAGGAAGAGATTAGACAGCATACTGACTGATCTCTTGGCCTCTCCAACTTCCTCATATTGAAAAGTCGTAAAATTCGTATGCAACTAAGTAAGAGGCCTATAAACTTGTATGACTACTACAAATAGGGATAACACTTTCCTAAAATGCAATTTTGTTTCTGCTCAACCCCTTGTAAATCCCTGTGCCCATGAGGAGTTCCACTGAGGTTAGTAAAACATCTCACAGGATTGTGTGTACACACTCGCAGCTCCTGATGCAAGTTCAGGGCTGTTACATACAAAATTCTCTTAATGAGAATCCTCTATGACTTATCAAGCCTTGTGATTTCTGATTCAGAGACACCATCCAAAATATACATTTTTTTCACTCCAGGGTTTGTGACAATATCCCTGAAGCTAAAATTTAAAATTACAATCCACATAAATTTTGACATTTTCCATTTAGGAAGATAAGATTTATCCGCACCTATATTTTGAATAAACCAGATTCCAACATAACTATTTTAGTCTGAGTTCTTGTAACGCTGAAACTAATAAGAAAATATATACCTTCAGTGGCGGCATTAACTAACGTTGCTAGAAAGCCAGCTGGGGAGCTCGCATTATTGTTTTACAGTGTTATCACCTAAGAACTGTGACTTAAGCTTTAAAAAAAAATACAGGAGGCCTCCAACATGCAACTGCCCGAGTTCTGACCCCCCAAACTTACAAACATTTTTTAAGTGCAGAAGGGGCTGGAAACCCCCAACATATATCCTCAGCCTGCATTTACGATGGCGCACGGTGTCTATTGTAAATGAGGGCTTGAGTAACGACACCCACAGCTTGCGATGCTTCCCCAACAATAGATTGTGTCACAAGTCGGGGGCCTCCTGCATCTTCAGCAAAAATGTTGTTCTTAAAACCCCAGAAATGAGTCAAATTTAGTCCTCAACTATTTAAAGATTTTCCTTTAAAGTCAGTATTTTGGTGTTACAATATAACATCAGTCAATATCACATTTCATAAGTACTCACTCCTTCCACTCCAGTGGAGACTTGCCCATTGACGTTAAATGTTCTGAAGGGGGAGTGAGTAGACAGGCGCTTATCCCATTCATTAGGCCGGGGTTCGGGGACGGACTCCATAAAGTTCTTCTTCAGCTCACTGATGTTAGCATGATGTTTCTTTATTTCGTCTTGAGTTTTATCTAGTTCCTGTTATTAAAAAAATAAATGGAGATGCACATAAAAAAAAGGTCATTAAATTAATCCTGTGCTGTCAGATAGCAAGCTGCACACAAAGTTGCTACCAATTTCCATTAGATGTGCTCACTCTGTGAGCATAAAAGGGAATATTCTCCTTTCCTTTCTTCTACCTTTGCACTAAAGGACAAATTTTAATTAAGTGGAAGATATCTCCCCTTCCAGCAGTGAGACCTGACATTCTATTTTGCTGAAGGAAGAGATGTCTATAGTTGAAACACCTGGATTTTCACCTAAAGAGGAAAATATAAAGAAATGGAACTTGACAATTTGATTTCACACCCTTCACTGCATGTTTTTCGATTAAATCTGACTATCTAAAGGAAGCTCACAGACGCCATTAACATTTTAAGAGAATTTCCATGTCTTCCCCTCTCATATGAAAAGTAACATTGTTACCTTCTCTGCTCTGATCTTGATCCTTCCACAAACTACCTATGAGGTTTCACACTAGTAAACAAAATGGGAGATGAGAAAACAACTCCTGAAACTGAACTTAATGCATCTACTTAATGCCCGAGTAATTGGTGCACCCAAGCTAAGGAGGTATGGGTATGAAAAGAGCTAACTTTTTATCTGTGATTCCAGGTTGCAGCATAAATGCACAGACTTCAACAAAATTCCACTATTCAATTAACTAATTCAAAAGTAGCCTTCCTTTCCAAGCAAAGATAGTTGGTTTAAAACAAAGCTTTTGAGTATAGGCAGTCCCCGAGTTACGCGGATCCGACTTATGTCGGATCCGCAGTTACGAACGGGGATTTTCTCGCCCCGGAGGACTGGAGCGACGGGACGCCTGGTCCCGCCGCCCGCCTCCTCCGGGGCGAGAAAAGCTGCTCCCCCTCTCCCCGGG